GAAATTTTCTCAACATCAAACTATATATTTGATTACAAAGTAACTTCATTTTGATTATCAAAATTAATCATAAGTCTAGCTTAATTTATTTTATAGAGAAAGACGCGGGCAAATATGGTCAAAATAGGAAAATATCAGGACCACTTTGTAATACCAGTACAACGTTACGGGTAGAATAGTAATTTTTAAGCAGCATGGCAAGTTCAAAACCAACAGAAAAACAAGAAATTAGGGCAAATGTGCAAAAACCAGCACCATCTCCCAGCCTTACAGACCATCTCCACCGTACATATCAACACTTGGAAAAATCTCGATCGTACGAATAGTCCTCGTTTACCCCGAAATACCAGATCTCCATTTATTGCCGTTAGGGTTTCCATCTCAAATCTCCGATCTCAACCGTCCAATCCATTCATCGGACGGCCAGAATTCCCCATCCCCTCCAAAAAAATCCATACTAGTTTTATTATTTCAGGAAAATTACTTTCTAAACCCTAGGTCTGGCAGGCGGTGACGAAACCGGTTTCTTTATCTTTCGTTTCATGGCTTTTGGGAAACTAACTCGGCAAAAACCCTAGATTTACAGTTTCAGAAGCTCATGAAACCTTTAGCCGTGGCCATATGCGTGACCTCCTCTATCTGATCTTTCAGGTACTATCTTTTTTCACTATTTTGGCCATGATTTTATGCTATAAAGGCCACAATTTGGGATCTTTTCTATGAAGCTATGTATGTTGGAATCAGACGGATCCGAGTCTTTTATAAGGTTCGTGAACCTTTTATTTTTTTGTGTGAATATCGATTTTTGGATACAACATTTGAAATTGGGGTTTGTTTTTGTGCATGATGAATGATGGAAATTCAGGTTTTGCTTTTTGTGCATTTTTATGGTTTAATTGGGCGTCTTGTAGGGTTTTGTAGATGGAGAACAATGTAGAATTCATTGGTTCCGATAAAAGCTTTATGTCATCAAAATCTGTGGATGTGGAGAGCCTGTATATTGAAAAACCTGGGGTTTCCGGGGGTGAATTAGGGTTTGATACCCATGGTTCTAGCGAGAAGAAGCCGTTGAAAAGGAGCCGGACGTCTTCTCGCAAGGCTATGCATGGTTCGGGAAAGCTAAAGACTAAGCATGATGGGCCTGGTTCGGGAAAGCTCAAGCCTAAGCAGCCTAAGCGTGATGATGGGCCTGGTTCGGGAAAGCTAAAGAAGAGAAGAGGCAGGAAAGAGGTTTCTCTAAATAGTTTAGAGCCTCTTCCTAAGAAGAGAAAGAGGGTTGTCAATAACAATGGTTCAGATAGTGGTCCTATTTCTGAGAAGGATAAAAATTTGATCTTTGGCCGAGGCAGGAAGACCACTAATTCCAGTCACATTCCAAACCTCGTCAATAGGAATTCTGATGTTCAAAATCAGAAAACTAAGAAGAATTCGGACACAGGTCTGGTTCAAAATGTTGGAAAAAAGAAGGTGCATTTGAGCAATGTTTCAGAAAGTTTTGGCGAGAACTCGAGCTTAAAAGCTCAAGTTGGTTCAAAGCGTAAGAGTCGCACTACCAGATGGTCGGAAACTTCTAAGAGAGTGTCAGCTTCACCTGCTGATAACAAGCATGGTGGCGCTGAGGCGCTTGGAGTAGAAGAGAAAGCTGAGGAGCTTGGAGTAGAAGAGAAATTTGAGGAGCTTGGAGTAGAAGAGAAAGCTGAGGAGCTTGGAGTAGAAGAGAAATTGGGTTTGGTACCCTCAATAGTCCGGAGAAAGAGGCGTTTTAGAAGAAACAAGCAGTCAGCTAAGGATAAACTAGATGAACCCATTAACAATATTCTGGCTTCACCCACTGATAATAAGCATGGTGAAGAAACTGACAGGCTTCTATTAAAGACAAATTTGGGTTTGGGATCCTCAATAGCTAGAAAAAAGGGATCCTTTAGACGAAACAAAGAGAATGACACTCATAAACTGGATCGACGCACAAAATCTAAGGGCATTAACACTAGTTCGACCATAGAGAATCCCAACCGAAACAACATTAAAAGGAGGAGGAGGACAGGAGTGAATCTGGCCCATGTTGCAGTTTTGGCCGAGAACTCTTTGCACAGAAGTCCAAACTCCATTGCTTCTGATTCTGGCAGTGGGGGTGGTAAACTAGAGATTCCTCTAGGAGATGAGCAAGAAAACCTTGAACAAAATGCTGCAAGGATGCTTTCTTCTAGGTTTAATCCTAGTTTTGGTGGGATTTCTGGAAAATCTACTGGTTCTAGACCTGAATCCACAAGTGGGTCTTCACTAAAAGCTTTGCCCCATTCATCGCCAAAGAGCTTAGAGGCTCGTGCGTTGGTGGGTGGCAAGATTTTGGGGGAAGATAGAAAGGGCAGGGTCTTGAGGCCAAGGAAACATGAGCATAAGGGGGTTAATAGAAAGAGGCGTCGGTTTGTGGAAGTAAAAATTCACGATTCAGATGCTCTTTGGGCTGTTAATAGGAGAATCAACGTTTATTGGCCTTTGGATAAGATGTGGTACCGAGGCATTATCAAGAATTATGACCCAGAGACTAAGTTGCACAACATTCATTATGATGATCGAGATGAGGAATGGCTTTCACTCGAATCTGAAACCTTCAAGATTCTCGTATGGCCTGGTGAGGCATCGAACCGATTTGGTTTTTCAAACGAGAGATCAAGGTCAAAAGAAAGTAATACCCATGAAAATGGATATAAAAATTCAAACGAGAGGTCAAGGTCAAAAGACAGTAATACCTATGAAAATGGAGATGAAAATTCCGGTAAAAATATGGATAGCTTCATGGAATCAGAGCCTATAATATCTTGGCTGGCACGTTCTTTAAAGAAGGCTAATTCTTCCCCAAATAATTCAGAAATGAAAAAGCTATCCGGCATTTCTCAAGACAAACCTCTTTTCGTTGGTCCCAAAAGCTCCTCATTCCAGAGTGACACAGGCTTGTCTAGAAGTAGCCCCCGTTATGTTTATGTTAGAAAACGATTTCACAAGAGAGAACGTGGTCGAAACAAGAGTCTGGAGGAGAGTTTGTCTTGTAAAAGCACACGTGTGTCTGTGAGCTTTCTTGATTCTGTTGCTGATCAGTTGAGGTCTTCTGTGAGCATTCTTGATTCTGTTGCTGATCGGTTGAGGTCTTCTGTGATGGATGATGCATGTGCTTGTGTTGGGATTGATCAGGAGTCTAAGGCCCTTCTTTTATACAATATACTAGATCAAGCAATGTTCTTGTTAGTTTTGCCCCAAATTTGGAAGTTCTATGTTAGAACTGTAGATGAGAGCTTTTGGGTTTATCATACTCTCATGCTCCTTCACTATGGCACTCTAGTGGCTTTGTGGCCTAAAGTTCAGTTGGAGATGCTGATTGTGGATAGTCTTGTGGGGTTACGGCTGCTACAATATGAGGGGTGCTTGATTCAAGCTGTAAATTGTTTGTGCTTGATCCTGAGTTTTTTTTGTCAGTCAGATGGAATGCAGGTTTCTTCAAAAATGTCAAGGATCCAGTCACCAGTTACTTCTATTAGGTTTAAGCTCTCTTACTCTCAAGGTGTGGGTAGACATCTCGTGCTTGTCTTCTACAACTTCTTGGAGCTGAGGAGTTCAAAATGGCGAAACCTGGATGGACTTCTTCGGGACTTCTCTCCAGTCACCAGGACATTGCCTCTGGCCGATTGCATGAATGTGATCTCTTCAACCTTGAAGAACTTTGAGGTAACATCACTTCCTGTCAAGCCAAAAAAAAGTTTCTATCCCCTGTATCACTATTGCCAACTCCTCTCTGTACATTTCTTCTGATTTCCTTTTTATTGGGGTGGACGTTTGGCACTTAACATCTTGAATTTGTGTATTTTATGGTCCCAATTGACATGGGTTTGCTGTTACGTCCTTTTATTTTCTGTGTTGGTTTAAGGATTTGAGAAACCACTGAATATTATTTTTTGTTTTCTTTTGTCCATCATTTGGTTTAGAACATTGAGAAAATTTTGAGGGTTTGTTTTTTATTTATTTTTACAGCAACTATTGTTTTATCTTTATCCAGAGTTTACGAGAGGAATCCTTAAAAGAATTGATGTACCAAGATACAATCAAAGCACCGGTGAATGTAAATGGTATCTCCACATCTGGCATTTCTGACGGGGATCATGGAAGCATTCCTTTATGTTATCATTCTTTTGCCACCATGCCTACTTCCTTTTTCGGGCTGCATATGAAGTTGTCGATCGGAAATCCTACCGCCTCTACTAACTTTCAAAGTTTTGCTCCAGCATCAGCACTGAAGAACGCACTTCACCCTGAAATTATAACCAGTGATGTGGCTATGGTGTCCTCTCCTGTTGAGGATTCCTTAGTTCATGTCAGGGAAGCCATGCAAAAGAATTTGCTAGAGCAAGCTTCTGCAGTACCATACGAACAAGAAAATGTAGAGGCTCATGTTTACTCCAATGAGAATGGAGTAATCAAATCCCCTCATCAATTCTCAAAAGACAAACTCAATGTGAACAACAGACCTGTGGGCTCACTAAGCTTGGGTAAGGCCAATGGGGATGATTCTCATCTCCATGGGAGTGAGATTCGTTTCCAAGGGTATCAGGAGAGCTCAGCTTCAGTTTCTGAGGTTGTTTCTTCCCCAAATGAGTCTGAAGCTGGTTGCATTTCTCATGATGTCAGTGATCAATCCCTTTCTCCATTACACCAAGTAACAAACCTGTCATTTGATGGGGTATCTCAAACTGCAGGAGGTTCAAATTATCTGTCAAGCTGGGATTCTGAGAAGTTGGGCTCTTGTCGCCAAAACCCAACTGGCCCTAGAAGCATTTGGCCACGTAATCGCTTTGGTTCGGTTTCTTCCTCTTTTTCTTATCGCTCGAAGTTGTGGCAGGATGGGGTCTCTAGAAAGCCCCGGTCTCAGCTTTCAGGGCCATTACGTTGCAAGGATAACAATGTTGACTTGAAACCAGCTCAATATCATCGAAGGGGCCGGCCCTATAAGCAAACAAAGATCGATAAGCCAAAGAGGATCGTTCAAGATTCTGGTAGACCGAGGAGGGGTCCTGAGTCATTGTCTTGTGATGCAAATGTGTTGGTCACAACATCTGATAGGGGGTGGAGAGAATGTGGGGCTCAAGTTGTGCTTGAGTCTTTGGATCGTAATGATTGGAGGCTCGTTGTGAAGCTTTCGGGGTCTACCAAATACTCACTCAAAGCACTAAACCCTATGCCGCTCGGGACCACGAATCGATTCACTCATGCTATGATGTGGAGGGGTGGGAATGATTGGAGCTTGGAATTTGTGGACAGGGCTCAATGGGTTGTTTTTAAGGAGATGTATGATGAGTGTTGCAACTTGAACAGTCGTGCCCGCTTGGTCAAGAACATACCTATACCTGGAGTAAGAAGGATTGAAGTTCCTGATTCTGATGGGGCGGGTGTTCCTTTTATCCGCACTTCTAAATATATCAAGCAGGTTGGTACTGAGGTTGACATGGCCTTGGTTCCCTCACGGGTTGTTTATGACATGGATGGTCATGATGAAGAATGGCTTGAGCATAATGAGCTGGATATCACAGAGGAAATGTTTGAGAGGGCAATGGACAAGTTTGAAAAGGTTGCCTATGCTCAACAGCATGATGATTTTACTGTTGATGAAGTTGGTCGTTTCACGGCTGGAATTGGACCCATGGAGGTTATGAAAGCTATTTATGAGTATTGGCAACAAAAGCGGCTTAAATTGGGCATGCCGTTGATTCGGCAGTTTCAGGTATCACACTTATCTTTCTGTACCATTTATCCGAAATCACTCATTGCATTCATGTTTAGACATCTAGCTTGCTAGAACATAACATTTCGTCACTGTGATTTTTTGAGCTTTCAAGGTCTTTTGTTGTATAGGCTACTGCGTGCTGCTGATATTCCAGTAACAGAAACCTCTACAGTGAATTGTTGTAAAATGGAACATTTGAGTGCCATTTACTTTAAAAGATTTGGCAGGACAATGCACTTTTCTTGTGTTTTAAACCATTAATCTGGAGAAATGTGGTCATGATATACTTCTAGATAAGAGATTCAACAGTGTGAAAAAGGAAAAGTAATTCTTGATGAATGTAAAAGTCTTGTCTTTTTCTCACGTTCATGATTTAATTTTTTCTGCTTGGCTCGACTGTCGAGCTCAGCCACCAACCTGACTGAATTATTGGGCCGAGTGCGATTCCTGCCTGAGCCAAAAAAGGGCCAAGGGACTGAAAAATAGTAACAGAAAATTGTGAATCAAAAAAAAAGAAAGATAAAAATAATAAAAAATACAAGGTCATGTTAAATGGGAAATTGTATATAAAACATGGAGTATGAAAAAAGTTCAAATAGAAAATTTTGAGAAAATGGAAAAATCAGAAGAATAGAAAAATCACAAAAAGTATTTACAAAGTGAACTTTAAATCAATTTTAATTGATTTAGTTAAAAAATCAACTTACGGATTTAAATTTAAAAAATGAAACATACCCAAATTTTGAGGCCAATCGCCTGATCAGCATGAATTGATGCCTTAAATCCTTGTGAAAGCTTCATCACACACGCCGAATCAAGAACCCCAAACCAGTTTTGAGTTTGTATCTGGGCGATCAGAGCTCTTGAAAAATTCAGATGAATAGTGAATCCGAATTTAAAATTTCTTGAAATCAAATTTTTTTTTTTTTGGGTTTCTTTTTCTTCATGAAAGTCAAGCCTATTGTTGGACCAAGAGTTCAAAAAGAGGCTTATGGATCAAATTTCATTGCAGATCAACCATGGATTGCAAATAAATCACAAGTATCAAAATCAGGCTTTAATTTTCAATCTAAAAAATCTATTAAATGTAATGTTTTTCCTCAAATCTAATGTTTCTAATATATAGATTAGCCTATAAAGATACAAATGACTCAATTTATGTTCAAATTGTTAACCCTAGCAAATCAAAGAAAATAAAGAGGATAAGGGGGATGAATTTCTACCCCTTTTAAACTTAGACTAGTACAGTACTTGCCTAAGCACCATACACTTACTGTATATATTGTGTACCTCCGAGTTTTGGGGGGTTTCTGGGCTTGGTACCCTACTGATCCTGAGTAACTCGGGCAAGTCGTAGCGGATCTGCCTGAATTTTCAGACATTGTTTTGAAATTTCATGCTCTGTGAGTCTGTTATTTTATTAAGTTGCATATTGGCTTTGAAAGAAATGCTGCGGTGTTTTGTGCACTTGGGAAATGATTTTGGGAATTACCGGAAGCAGAACAATCTGCCAGCGGACTGTCATTTGAGGCAGTATTGTGGAACATCCAGTTCCTTTTTAAGGCATATGGAATTTTGAATTTGCCAAATATGTAAATAAAGTAATTAACCTTGCAATTCATGTCCTTAATGGTTTTCTCGTTATGAAGTTCATTGCTGATTTCTATGTTTGGCTGGAATAGCCTTTCTCATTCGAGACCCACCGAGCTGTGTAGGGGTTTTGTTTTTCCAAGATTTAGTACTCTCGTTTGATCTGTCTCAAACATCTTGAGCATTTGGCTTTTGTCTTGCCCATCTATATCTTATTAGTTATTACATTATTTCCTCTAGGCTTTTCTTACTGGGTGTTTTCAAATGTTTTGACTGGTTATTAGTCTTAGGAAAAAGTTTATATAAGGTATCAAGCTTATACTATACACATATGGTGCACCTCAAAACTCATTAGAAAAGGTTGTTTTGTCACTAGTAAACCCTCCAATTGATCATCTCCACTTTGATATGTATGAATATGAAAGAAACATTGAATTTCAAGTATTAGCAATAGTACATCTGGTAGCACATTATCTAGACCGTCCATTATCAAGATATTTAAGTATTCATGGATTTGATAGATATGCACTAGTTTTGGAGCTTTCAATTTCATATTAGGGGTGAAAAATACATTTTTTAGGGCGATCATACGAGTTCCGGCCCCTAAAATGCATCTTATAATGAGATTTTGAGGTGCACCTTACTGTGATTGTTTAAGGCTGACACCTTATACAAACCTCACCCTTAGTCTTCAGATGCATTAGAATGCTGCTTGCTTCTCTGCTAGCAATAAATTCCCTTAGTCACAACTTGTCCTTGTTGGGCACACATTTCTTTGCTTCTATGCATAGAAGTCTCTTTATGACATGAAGCGCACACGCTACCCTATTGATTGATATATAGAGATTTATACAGAGATAGAGAAAAATAGGCTCACCTTAGTATACGAGATAAGCACGGAAGTGGACATTCTTTACCCAAGTATGGGTTTCTGAAGTCTCATTTGGTTCTTGTGCTTTGCGCAGCCTCCATTATGGGAGCGATACCAGCGACAGATGAAAGAATGGGAATCCCGAGTGAACCATATTCACAATGCTTCAAATGGAAGCAAAGAGAAGGCGACACTGCTCGAGAGGCCACCAATGTTTGCTTTTTGTTTGAGGCCACGGGGACTTGAAGTTCCCAACAAGGGTTCAAAGCAAAGGTCACAAAGGAAACTATCTGCGGGGGCCTCCAGCTTCATTCAAAGAGAACATGATTCTTGTCAAGTTTCAGGTATACATTTTATTCCTCAACTTAATGAACACACACACAAAAAAAAATTCTTCCTCAACTCACTAGCAAAAGTTACAAGAAAGCCATATTCACTATTCTTTCTTCTTGATGGGCCCATTTTCTCTTTCATACGTTTAATACAGGCAGAAAACTTAATGGGTTTTTGGGTGTAGAAGAGAAGTCCTTAAATACCATCCAAAGCATTGAGCTTTCAGAAGAAGCAGCATTTAGAGGAGTCCGACCAAGGATCAGTATACTGCAAAAGGAGGGCCCCAAACTCCAAAGAAGTGATTCTTCACAGTCTAAACGAGGGTGGTCCATTCAAAGACCAACTCGAAATGGGGTTCTTCGTGTTTGGGGCACAAACTCACCCAAATGGTCCAATAACAAAGAGTGCCAATCAGATGGGATGATGGGTTCTTATAGAGAGAAAGCTGAGCGTCCTTATAGAGATAGAGCTGAACACTTGAATGGTGCAAACTTTGAAAGCCAGTTCAGAGTAAGAGATGCTGCTAGTTCTGCACAGCATGCCTCTAATCTGGCTAAACTCAAGCGTATCAAAGCTGAAAAGCTGTTTCAGAAGGCTGACCTTGCTCTTCACAAGGCTTTTGTGGCTCTTTTGATTGCTGATGCAATACAAAAGGCAGAGAAGGAGAGAGACGTAGAGGTCACCACATCCCAATCTGAAAATGAAGAGAGACCAAATGGTCATGAGCTCAGCATGGAAAAAGGGGTCAATGGTCTGCTAGTTGATGATGTAGCGAACAGACTGGCCTTAGTGCCTTTTTCCCAATAGAGTGATGGAGTTCTAAAAGGGTTTTCTTTGTCCGTGGCTGTGTATAAGAGAAGAAGATTGCTTCATTGAATCTTTACACTGCCAGTACTGACCAAATTATGGTGGCAATATCTGATTTTGCAGTGGAAGAGTTTTTACAGTAGGTACCTCTCCATGAATTTCAGAACTTATACAACGAGCAAGCAACATTGGCATGTAGGAATTTGCATTGGTGATCACTGTACAGAATTGTTTCTTTTTTTTTTTATCTACTTTTTCTCCTTTCCAGAAAGTCTCTGTCTTCTGCCTTTGCTTGAGCATTTGGCTATAATAATAGTGCACAGCCATAACTTTTGGATTTTGAAGTTACATGATGGATTTTGAAACGCATTACAAGGTGAGAGTTGCACCTGGATCTTGTCTCATCTTATTCTCAACATTTTATGAAGATTTTCATGTGCTTTTGCTTAGTTAAAGGTCAGTCAGAAGTGGTAGTTTTGGGGTTGACCTTTTTGCATCTTTCTTGCTACATTCTTGTACAGTTTAAATTAAAATTCCTAGCAACCCATGTGACATTATTTAACACAAACTTTGAGATGCCATGATTATATGCTTCATCTTAAGAAATCCTGGAGATTCTCTCAGCTTAAAAAGTCAGATTCTCTCAGCTTAAAAAGCTGTAAGCTTTGTCAACTGTTGTGCAACCTATCAAGCTGAAGGAATGAAAATTGTCACGAACAGGTTATCTCAAACTTTTGGTTCCTCTGTATTGAGAGTTTTCATTTAGTTATGTTAATGTATCATCAGAAGTATCTGATTAGGCTGCTTAATGTTCTGGTTTACCCTATAGGATTTCTGTGAATTTATCGCCCTGGAGAATTGTTTTATTTATAAAACTGCTCCTGTTTGGTGTCCTAAGGACTTGTTTCTGTAGGAAGATGAGACATCTGCAATCCTCTCCTCTAATGAGCTAAGCAGAACTGTCTGTTGTGAAATCATATTACGGGTCACTTCATATAGGTTAGGACTTTGCTCATTGATCTGTCAACTGGATTTTGAGTTATTGATATGGATAATTTTTAGTTTGGCCTTTGTTTTAAGAAGCTTTAAGGTGTGTTAGGTTTACAGTGACTTGGGTGCTTATGAAGTCTTGAGTGACACTGATGAAGGTATGTAAGCATCTGATAATTGAACCTTTGTATATGCCAATGCTTCTTGTGAGAACATGGATGACAATACATGTAAATCTCAGACTTTTGAATTGATCGAGAAATAGTTGCCCATCATAAAAAAGACTTGGATGTGAATAAAGAGACCCTACGAGGAAGATTGGTTAAGATTGCCTCATTCCCCCCTTTAAATAGGACTTTGCCCAAGAGCCAGTGGGGTTCTGCGTGGATTCTTGGGGTAGTTATTTGGACACCATGATGCAGGTTGTTTCTTAGTTTACTTTTGCAATCATTTGTGAATGCATGCTATCCTTGAGTACTACATGAACAATAAGAGATGTTGCCCTCTATACATAATGGAATATGATGTCAATAGTTCTCCGGTTTCAGAATGGTTCCAAACTATGTGATTGAAGTGATGTGCCCATGTCCACGAGTAACAACATTGTGCATTGTGCGGCGATTTTGGTTTTAGGGATTTGCTATATTAGCTACTATGAAAACATGAAAGTTTTCTTGTAGTTATTATGTCTAGTGTAACATTTGCTATCATTTAGGAACTTTAGAAGGAGAGGAAGTGGCTTCAAAGGGTATGACCATTGATAGAGCATAATGGTAGATCGGGATTCATGTAGCCGACCTTAGTTATTTGGAAAAAGGCTTTAACGACGATGATGATGATGATGGATGGAGAGTAAGTGGAGATCAAGATGGTATATGAGGTGCTGTTGCCAGGGAGCTTGTTAGCATTGGCATGCACAGTTTCTTGGGGAAAAGAAGTAATGGATCTGCAAAAATTGGCATGAAAGGAAAGGAGCATGATGAGGGAACATTGGGAAGTTTAAAGTAGAAAAACATATGAGAAAACTTTAAGTAATGGAGAAATGTGAAGTTTAAAGTCGAAAAACATATGAGAAAACTTAAAAGTAATGGAGAAACTCTTGTGCTACGATGTTGCTTAGAGTTCATTGAAAGCCTCACGAGGAAATGTATGGAAAACTTGGAGGTGCATAGAATACATGGTAAAAGAAATGTTCATGTGTGAGAGAAAAATGTAGAAATGGATGAAGCATGGGAAGTTTAACTTCTCTTGTGAACCATCCTTAAGTGTCAGGTCTCTAGCCAAAAAATTCGCGTGTTAGATGGTTTCATATGTCAATACGGTTACTAGTTGGTGAATATAATTTCAGAATAAGTCCTGTTATTTTGAGAGACAGAGAGAGAGGTGTTGACATCACATCTTGTTTAAGTGCATGCACATCACTGGGAAAAGACTGAATAGGCATTTTATATGGTGGTGTGTATAGAATAATGCTAATATAAACACACCGTCTTTTGTCATTTGACTTATTTCAAATGAGTTGATGACGGACGGACGGACGGACGTACGATGGAGTGAGTGACAGAGAGAGATTTACTCCATTACTTGGGTTATGTGTGCGTTACTTGGGTGATGAGAGAGAGATACTCCATTACTTGGGTGTTAAGAGAGAGAGAGAGAGACAGACAGTTACTCCATTACTTGGGTTATGTGTGTGAGAGAGATTTACTCCATTACTTGGGTTACGGTGAGGTTTGTATAAGCTTGTCTCTTTATGCTATAAAAGTAACGTGCGCTTATAAAATTTACCTTTAGAGATTGCACTTGGTATCAAAAATCTTATGATAAAACACTTGAAATCATGGAAACAAACGGTCCAAGATGTACTACTTTTTGGACTTAGAATTCTTTTAATGGTGCAGTTTGTATAGAGCCTAGATTCTAAACAATCAAATTAGAGCCTACCTTCAAATGGTGTTGAGAAATGTGCTTTCAGTACTGGAAATCTTTTTTATAGCTTTAAAATATAGTTTCATTTTTATGTATTAAGTTTAAAGCCTAAAAAATAGTGAAGATCGAGAGATCTATGAAAACTTGAAAATCTTTAAAATTGATTGGCAAAAAATGTGTTACAAAATACATTATTTTCAAAACTTGAAATCCATTTTTTTTGTCATGTACAAGCATCTTGATAACTAGATAATCAATTTGAAGATATTGGAGAATCAAAACATCCTCTTCTAGTGAAAATTTTGGGATAAGCCCGAATTGATTGTTTAGAGCCTGGGCTTTATATAAACTTTTCTCTTCTTTTAATTCTTCTTGTCCATTCATCTCTCCAACACCAAAACACTTTTGAGGTGGTGCACCATACTTCTACTGCATAAGGTTGCAACAATGTATAAACTTTTTCGTTTCCCAAAAAAAAAAAAAATCTTTTATAAACTTTATCTTTCTCCAAAAAAAAATCGTATATAAACGTTTTCCCTCGGGTTATGGCCCCCAAACTCACTTCTCTATCTCTCTCTCTCTTACTAGTGTCCAGAAAACCCAAAAATACCAGAGGGACCCATAACAATGTAAAGCCCAAAACCTGAAAACAAGAGAGGGTACCATAAGTATGTATCCCCTAGTGTTCAACAATTCTCTCTCTCTCTCTCTCTCTCTCTCTCTCCTATCCTTTGAAAAAGCGAAAAGAGAATTGGAATCATCGATAGGCGCTCAAGCAATCTAAGAACATCTACAAATGACAAAAAATGGAATCAACACGAAGAGGATAAAAACAACAAAAAAGGGGGAGAAAGATGGCAGCCTCCTCATTCTGCATCCGAACGTTGAGGCACATCAAATAATGCTTATACCCACATTCACTTGATCTTCATGACCTTGTGGAGTACCCCTGCCAATCTATTGTACATGTGATGCTTGAGGAACATCTTCTCCACCTTACTTCTCCCCTGGAGTCCCATTCTCTCTCTAGCCCATGGGTTTTTAAGAAGAAAATGTATGTTTTGAGCAAGTATAGGGACCCCGTCTCGGCCAAGAGGGTGTAGAAGTCCATTAACTTCGTGATCTACAATCTCTCTTGTGCCCCCAGCATCAGTCCCAAGAATCTGTCCAAAAAAAAAGAGAGAGATATTGGTTCATCTACATGACAATGCTAGCCTTGTTATCCAAACTAATGCGAAACTCTCTCTCTATCATAAAAATTCACACCAGGATGGGCAACAATACTCGTATCTATGAAGTCAAAACATGACTACGGCGAGCTACATCACCCATCCCATCTCTCTCTCTCCCTCCATACACACATACACAACAAAACCAACACCTTAAAAATCTACATCAACATATCTATAAAACTCTCTCTCTCTCTCTCTCTCTCTGTTTAAACCCACATATCAATGAGCTACATCACCAC